ACTATCCGGTGAGCTGGATTTTTGTCAACAGCCTTCTATGATGCACTACCTTACATCATGCGTCTTGACCTATTAAAAGCGGGCACTTTCACGTGTGCAACTCTTGCAGCGAATTACCATCACCAGGTCCTCTCACCTTATCCAGAACTCGTCTTTCAACATCCACTTCAAAGCAAAATTAACCGATTCGAATCCATAGGGTGTTTGCTGTATCCAGGTTCTGCGGCCATGCTTCTAAAAATTTTTTCCGCATGAACAGGTCGGCATCTTCTGGATTGGAACTTTCTGAACATCTGTGTCATGCAGAGCACATTTTTTCCCGTCTTTTTCATGTACACTTATTTTTTAGAATGCACTTGTTCTAAAAAATCGTAATTGTAATTCAGATTTATGGACATATGTCGTATGAGGAGGCGTATCAAAAATGCTCTACTTTGAATGCATCAGTTGCCGCACCCAAAGATGCAGCGCAAGATGTGTTCATACAAAGTAAATTTACATTCAGTAGCTAAGACGTAGAACAAAATCTATAGTGGTGGCAAGAAAGCAGTAAAGGTATTCAAGCAGGTACCAAGAAAGTAATAAAATCACTCTCCTTAGCAATGCGTTATTTTCGGCGACTATTGCTTTTGTTCTTCAAACCAGTACAGTCATGCGTATTTTTTGACCTGCACAAAAACTGTAAAAAAAGTCAAAAAATTGCGGCTCTTGGCATTTTCGTTAATTTCAACAAATGCAATGCAGCTGAAATCATTCTGGTTTTTAGAAGGAGTGTATACGGAAGGAATCTATGGTGTAACATTTAAACCGTATTGGATCGGTGTTCGTAAGATTAACAGCACATGGATGATACCCATACAGGAAAAACCTTCCGAATACATTCCGGTCACTTTTACGAAATGGGGACGATCACAACCAGATGGCTGCTGTTCGTATGATGTTACCTGTGTTGTGGTAAATCACTGGGACGAACGAGGGGAATGGGATGATCAAGGCTGCTACAGTCGTGTGAACAACGCTGGCGCTGTTTGCCAGAAACAATCGTTGTGATTCATTTCTGAATGTCTTTATCAATGACAACTTTTATGATTGCGCATTTGGGAAGTCAATAGCTTTGAAATAAGTGTCTTCAAGAACTCGCTGCTTTGTTAATGCACCCGTTCATTTACTGAAATAAATACCGTGCATCTTCAGTGTTTTGCAAATTTGTCACCTGCAATCATTGGCGGATCTAGGAATGGGGTGCGATGGGTAGCAGTGTTAAAACGAAGAAAACTCTCTTCGATAGCCCTTGTCGCCCCACCCCACCCCACTTCCCACCCTCAATCAGTACTGGCATGACGGACGATCGACAGTGGAGCCGGAGTGCGGAGAGCGGGGAAACATTAGCACAATTCAGTCAGGAAACTCAACGCATCTTTTACTAAGGTGAGGACATGGTTTAGAAGTCATTTTGATGAAAACTAGTAATTTCTCAAAGATATGAAAAGTATTTCACGATTGTCAGTTGGCTGCCGTTGGGTAATGTAGTATTGGTCAGATTAAATGGAAAAGTTACTATTTCTTTTTTGTAGCTGAGGACCTGCGCTATGAAATGCGCTGGCCAAATTATTAAAGTAAGTGGAAAATACAGCATGCGGTTTACACTTGACAGAGGTAGCACTTCAGTTTCTTTATACTGACAAAATTTAAAAAAATTTCAGATGGTTTTCAAACGCTCAAAAATATCTTTGTTCATTTACAGTATTCGGTCATACATTATGACACTTAAGCACTTTTCTAACTATACAGATAAGCAAAAAAAGGCATTTATCAGTCGGCAGTTTAGTTATTTTCTGAAGTGTATGTAAATATTCAAAAAACTGTTAGAGATTTCTTAAAGCACAAATGCTAGCAAAAAATTTTCTTCCTTCCTGAAAGTTATCACAGTTACAGTTATTTTTGTGCAAATGTAAGCAGGCAAAAATCCCAGATTTCCTTGCAAGACGTTCTCGCATGCTCGGCAAAGTAGCAACCTTTGTTTGATGCACTGTCGATATTTTTGCAGCTGCAGCACTGTTCAGTCTGCGACGAAACTTTAACTAGAAATGTACAGGTGAAACAAATTTTCTTAAACAAAATTGCACACATAAGTTGTCATTAAACGACACGTGTATGTAGGTACCATTGCGTACCACATTAAGTGTTTTTGTTAATGATGTTACTTGGATATTCCCACATGCCAAACGAAACAATGCGAGGCCCCTAGGTCCCGGGCTGCTTGCTTCCAGTGGACCCACTGCTTGTTTTATGGATGTATCATCACTTCAGGACTCATCCGAGTATTCAGCGTTGCCTTCTTTTGGATATGCATCGTCCACCGGTCATCAACAAAGCAGGCAACATGTCCCGCTCATCGGATTTTACTTTCTCGCATGGTCCTGTGCTCCGCTCATTTGTGTGAGAGTATGTCTGCTTATATAGACACGGAGCTCCGTCACAGGTAGTGCTCACTCTTCAGCCTTTCTCAGTAATCATGTTTCAAGGAAAATATGTTAGAGGAAATGGTGCGTGACTTTATTCTTGACATCGGCCTAGAGCTGTAGGCGTAGGCCATTTTGTGGCGGCATCCGTTTAGCACCTGGGATTCTTAACATCCCCTCACTCTCCGGTTGCCGATTTATTGTCGTAGACAGGCCAAAGGGCCCCAAGGATACTGGGGCTCATTTGTATTTATGCGTTTTTGCATAATATGCAAAAACACATATTGTGACGACCCCGGTGTATGTGTGTGTACGTGTGTGTGTGTGTGTGTGTGTGTGTGTGCGTCTGTCCGCGTGTTTCAACTCGGCACCCAAGAAAGCTCCGGCGCTAAAATTTTACGAGTGAGTTCCCCGGCCAAGTGCCACCCCAGGACCGCGGTACCAACCCTCAAGCACGTCTAGGCCCCGCGTACAAGCGCCTCAAAGTTTTGGCGGGAAAATCGCTAACTTGGGGACCAGAAAAGCTAGAAAGTTGAAACTTTGGGATTATGTTTCCAGTCCAAATAGAACTCAAAAATTTCAAATTCAGCCCCCGCGGGTTCGTGGTTCCCGCGTACGGCTCCGTGAGGGTCCCTGGCGCGAAAATCGCTAGCTCGGGAACCAAGAAAGCTGGGGCCTGAAACTAACAGAAAATATTCACAGCTCATCTATAACTTAAATTTATTAAATCCAGCCCCCGTTATGCGTGACTGCCACGTACGGCCCGTGAAAATTTTTGGCGCGAAAATGGCTAACTCCGGAGCCAGGGAAGCTGGGAGCCTGGGATTTCGAGGGAATTTTCACTGCTCAACTATAGCCTAGATAATTAGCTCCCCGAAATTCGAGGACCAGTATGTACAAGGGGTTTCTAGCTGGCGAAATTTCGAGTGATCTTATTACAGCACGAAACACTGCAAAAACGCACGATCGCACCGGGTCCGCCCAGTGCGCGTCGCCAATGATTTTATTTCGTGTTGTCCCCATAGTGCGTTCATCTGTTTAGCGCACGTTACATTTTTATTTGCATAACTACTGAACTTTTCTGCATTACCGATCGTTGGCCAGGCTGACATTGATTCGAACCATTTAATCCAAGTCAGATAGTCCTCGACATGCGTTTTGTCAGTGCGCTTACGTCGACAAAACGCATAATAAACGAATAGATTAAGCGACCAGCCAGTCACCCCTTCACTTGTTTCTACCAATCTCTCGGTGTATGCCAGCCGGTCTGTAAAATTAACCATTTCTTATCCACTGGGAGTTTTTGGAATTCCTGATACAGTCAGTCTAAATTTGTTTACGACGACAAGTTTTGCAAGATAGTATGTAATTAAATTCGGAGTTTGAGAGAAGTGATACTCGAATGAACATTTCAGTATGTGTCAATGCATTTTCCGCATACTGTTCTTGTGGTACTACAGTGGTGCTGACTATACCACACAACACACCAATGACAATGGCGAGAACAATGGCAGACAATAAGAAACAAATCCAAACCAAAGAATATCAGCACTTTATTCATTCTGAGAGGATAAGTTTGTATCGACTATGGAGTAGCAATATTCGTCAATCAAAATTACTGGAATGAAGTTACAAAACGGACTTTTTACGAAACGCTTTTGATTCTTCCCCCCTTTATTGCTCATTGCAATCAGAAACGCAGCACTTTAAAATAAGTGCCCAATTTGAGCAGCTTGAAAAAAAAGGAAGCTGCTCCTGCCTTTCGGCAACTAAGTAAACTATGAGCGCGGGGTGAGATAGAATAATGCAAGAGTTCAGAGTCCTCATGGATCTCTGAATATCAGAGAATTCAGTCTCTATGAAACTTCCGTTGTTTGGGATTAGATATTCGCGAAAAAGTCTTTAAAAAGGGCTGCTATTCTGAAAGTCGTCAGTTGGTTTCAAGCACATCTGCATCTGTCAGGACGCATTATCACCCATCTGCTGAATATGTTTTCCTTCACTAACCATCTGCTCTTCTGGCTTCTTCCGGCAACGATCAGTTTCAGCGCAGCAGAGTTTTGGTCAAAACATGTTTTGCAAGCGAACCAGCTAGAAGGTGTGCTGCTTTGCGAAATTCCTGAGATTATGCTTTGTGTTAAACTGCAATCAAAGTATAATCAGCCACTTGTAAGTAACTAGCAGATGTCCATTGGCACAAATGTATCGTAGTCCAAAACAGCTTGTACCAGACAGACACAGATGAAAGAAAATAAGTGGATAGAAGTGAACAAAGGTAAAGTAAAAGAAGCACGAATGCAGAAATGATAAAATGAAGAGATAGGAAGAAAATATGAAATACTTTTTTGCTTCCGAAAAGCTTGGATAAATCACAATTTAATACATGAGAATCATCTTTACAAAATTTAGTGGCCGCAAAAATGAGCTGAATGCATTTCACAGCTCTTCTTTTGCTGCCACATGTGTACTGCATAACAAATAAATTCAGTTTATCCTACATCAGTTGTGCAAATGTTCAAAAATGTGCCAGAGCTTTTTTGAAAGGCCCAAATGCCAGTAAACCCAGATTGTAACGCACGAGTTGAGTCTGTGCGATAATGCGTTTTTGCATCAAAGTTGAAGTTATTAGGTTAACTGCATAAACGGTTGTTTCTTCACAACTATCTTTTGCGCTCAACACCTTAAATCATCGTAAATTTTGCATAAATGGAAACAAACAATTTCTGCTTAGCAGTCGTTTTTCGAAAATGGCCCAGCTGTTCAATGGGTAATTTCCCCGCCAAAAATTCATGTGCCTGTACACGAGAACCACGCATACATGGAGGGTGAATTCGAAACTTCTAAGTTGTATTTGGACGGGGAATGTTCTGCTAATTCTCGGCTTCTCAGTTTTTCTGATTCCCGAGTAAGCAATTTTCCTGCCAAAAAATTTCACACAGTTTTACATGAGAACCACGCACGACTGGGGGCTGAAATTGATAGGTTCACGTCGTACTTGTGCTGAGAACATTCCTTAAAAATTTCAGCCTTCCGGTTTTCCTGTTTCCGAAGTTAGTGATTTCTGAGTCAGGAACCGTCATGGGGCTGTGTGCGAGAACCATGCACATCTGGGGAATGAATCTGAAATTTTTGGGTTCTACGTGGACGGGGGACACATAGCCGGGGAAACCAATGGCAAAATTTTGGCGCCAAAGCTTACTTGGTTACCGAGTTGAAATACCCGGACAGACGAACACACACACACACATACACGCACACGACCTCTCCGCAATATGCGGTTTTATGCGCTTTGTGCTGTGTAACAACAGTACAAAACGCGTCTTGCCACGGGGTTTTGTATGTATGTGTGTGTGTTTGTCCGCAACAACTTGCCCGCAACTTTCAACTCGGGAACTAAAAAAGCTAGGAAGCTGAAAATTTAGAACTCCGCAAGTTTAAACTCAGTCCCCTGCATCCGCAGGTAACACAAACGGCCTCGTAAAAGATTGGACGGGTAAAATTATTATCACGGGAACCACGGGAATTAGAAGGCTGAAATTTTGCGAGCGTGTCTCCTGCCCACGCGCTACCCAGAAAAATTTAAATTTAGCCTTTCCCTGCCCGCGGGCAACACGAACGGCCTCGTAAAAATTTTGGCGAGAAAGCTATTATCTCGGGAACCACAAAATCTACCAAGCTGAAGTTTTAGGACAATGACTTCCTACTCACGTACGACCTTGTAAATTCAAATGCAGTGTTCTCGCGCTCTCGGTTATCAGCTACGGCTCTGTGAAAATTTTAATAGGGAAATTATTACCTCAGGGACCATGAAAGTCAAGAAGCTGCAGTTTTGCGGTAGTGCCGATGCGTGAAATTTCAGGTGTCGATGCGTGGAATTTTCAAGTATTTTTCAACGCTCCAATCGTTTTTGCGCAGACTGAAGTACAAAGCAGTGAAAATCATTAACAGGCAATCATCCGGTGTACAGTTGCACAAAATGCATGATCGCACTGGCTAGTCTAGTGTGCGTTGCTATTTATTGCTGGCTGTAGTGGCGCTATAGCGCAGCATAGAAAAAAATGCATAAAAATGTGCAGCATTTGGTATGATGCATATAGGGAATGCTACGAAATGTCACTCGTGAAATCCAGAAAAATTGTAGTTATTGGCAAAAGGTCACAACTGATGGAAGACGTGATCCAATCATGTCGAGTAAATCCGAAAAGGAAAATGTTGAATTTTTTGAGGGTTTCGCTAATTCAAATTGCCTTTATTCTTACAGAAAAAGAAAACGGAAAGGATTTCAACCAAGATCAAGATCAAGTGTTTACCTTAATTTTTATTCGACATCTGCCACAATTAGTTCAATTCAACTGACAAATTCAGCCCGTCTTTTACTGGAGAAAGAATGTGGCCAGCAGTCTTTCTGGTGAAAATTAATAATTTCTTCAAGGAACGAAAAATATTTCGTGGTTGCCAGCGGACTACCATTGGGCACTATAGCACTGGCCAAAGCAAATAGAAAGATTGCTACCGTTTCTTTTTATGCGTTTTTACCTATATGCAAATTGCAAAGCTCATATTGTATGTGTGTATGTGTGTGTGTGTGTGCGTGTGTGTGTGTGTGTGTGTGCACGTTCGCCAGTCCGGGTATTTCAACTCGCAACCAAGCAAACCCCAGCGCCCAGATTTTGGTAGAAGGTTCCCCTGCCAGATGCCACCCCAGAACCGCGATACCAACCCACACGCAAACCTGAGCCCCGCGTACGAGAGGGTGAAAGTTTTAGTAGGGAAGTTGCTGACTCGGGAACGAGGAAAGCTAGGAAGTTGAAATTTTGAGATTACGTTCCTCGCCCAAATAGAACTCAAAAATTTCAAATTCAGCTCCCAGGTGTGCATGGTTCCTGCGCACAATTCCGTGAGAGCTCCTGACGCGAAAATCTCTAACTCGGGAACCAGGGAAGTTGGCGGGAGACGGGGAGAGAGGGAGGGGGTAAAATTTTCAGGAAATGTTCCCAGCGGAAGTGCAACATAAACCTATCAGACCCAGCCCTCAGTCGTGCGTGGTTCTCACGTATCACCCCGTGAAACTTTTTGGTGGGAAATCGGCTGATTCGGGAACCAGAGAAGCTGGGAAGCTGAGATTTTAGGAGAACATTCCTTGTCCAAATAAAACTTAAAGGTTTGAAATTCAATTTTCATGTGCGCGTGGTTCTTGTGTACGGGCATTTAAATTTTTGGCGGAAAATTACTTATTGAACAGCTGGGTCATTTTCAAAAACGATCGCTAAACGGAAATTGTTTATTTCCTTTTATGCAAAATTTACGATGATTTACGGTATTGAGCGCACAATGTAGGTGTAAAGGAGCAACCGCTCTAGCAGTTAACTAATTACTTCAAGTTTGGTGCAAAAACGCATAGTCGCACCGGCTCGCCTGATGGGTTACAGCCTGGGCTTTAGCTAAAGAATCACATCTTGAAATGCTAAGTGAGTAGAAACTAAAATATGCAGATTAACTTGACTGAGGATGCGCTTTATTTTCTCTATGCTAACAAAATGACTCACGGACAGTTTTACGTTTTTTCAAAGACGTACAAAAAACTGTGTTCTTTGTCCTGCATCCGGACATACTTTATGGTACTCAAATGAAAGCACGCTTCTGCACACTGAGATAAGAAAAAAGGCGTTTATCAGTGAGCAGCGCAGTCATTTTTTAAAACATGTGTCAACACTCAAAAAAATGTTAGAGACTTTTTAAAGCATAAATGCTAACAAAAAAGCATTTTTAATCCTTACGTTATCATATTTACATTTGCTCATACCTGTATATATAAGCTGACAAAAAGCCCACATTTCCTTGCAAGCATTGGCAGGTATGCTCGGCGGAATTCTGACTTCTGTTTTTGGTACTGTCGCTCTTTTTTGCAGTTGTAGCGCTGTTCTAGCATCTGCATCCACTGAAGGTAGTTTTCTGAGATTTTTTAACCAATAACTTATCGATGAAAAAGTCTTTTCAAACACAAACACACATATATGCGGCACAGATACTTGTTTTCACATCACGTTAAATAATCACGCCAAAAGCATAATAAGTGGGTTAAATAACCGGCTAGTCATTTTCGAAGTATTTGTACTAAACGTTAGGGGATGTCTCTACGAACAGCAGCTTGCTCGACTGTTGTTGACTGCTCGGTATGCGTAAATCCACACAATACTGTGAGTGGTGGACTCTGTGCTTCGGCTTACTCTAACTGAAACTTCAAGCATATAAACGCCAGCTACAACACCTGTTGTTGATACAGTGACAGCATGTACAACAACCGCGACGCCGTCAACCACGTCTTCAACAATTACTGTGGCACCGGCCATGTCTACAACAGACACGACATCGCCCAAACACTTCCACAGCCACAACAACATCAGCTACATCCTCGTCACCCACGACTTCGACGAACTTAGTTACAGTAACTAAGATATCATTAACACGACCACAACAAACACAATATCATAAAACACGTCAGTAACAACTACGACATCATCAACAACGTACACAACAACCACAGCGTCTAAAACAACATCGAACCCATCCACGTCATGTACAACAACACCGACCACAAACACGTCAACTACAACAGTAACTCCATCTTGGATTCCGGATGCGACTACACCGACAGTGCCCCTAGCACAAGCAGCACGTTCGGCTCAGCTAGACGATTCCAATCTTCATTCGGAATAATTTTACCGCTTCGGCGAAAATAGCATTTCCTAAAACTTGGCTCGGTTTAAGTCCCGAGAGGTAGTGAATAGAAGAGGGAATAGAGATAATGACTGGCAACGAGCTTGGAGGCAACAGATGGTGACAGTAAGGTGGAGATTATGAGGCGGAGGAGGAGGGTACATGTGTTTATGATTCTAAGCAAGCAGCTCGATGCAGCAAGAAAGCTAGTAAGCTCACACTCCAAAATTTTAGGGGAAGAAAATATCCTGCATTTGTGTATAGGCATGCTTCTTGTTGAGTGCATGCAAACACGCGAATTTATACAAATTGTGCGGTCTAGCCGAGCCAAGTTTTGTTAATTACCTATAAATTCCTCTTCAGCGAAACCGTTAGATCACGTCAGTATAGTGTGCATGGTGTTGTTAGTGAAAGACAGCAGAAGATGGATAGAAAAGGAAAAGGCGGTGAAATGTAAGTAGCAAGGAACATTCGCCAACGCATAGTTGGAGGGCCAACTATAAAATGTGGCTGTTCTAGGCAGTCATCATTGAAAACTAGTACTAACGATTCCCACTGCTATTCGCATCAAATGCTCTGCCTGTGTTTACCGTTGGGGATGAAACGCAGACTGCAGATTCACCTTGCATCAGAATATGTAATTTTTCAACAATCCTGCAAAATAAATTTGTATCTGATGAGACTGTTTTACAGGATGTCAGCGTGGATGGTATTGGTATTCAGTCGATAACTTGTGCTACTATCCGGTGAGCTGGATTTTTGTCAACAGCCTTCTATGATGCACTACCTTACATCATGCGTCTT